GTGTGTACATCCTTAACAGGATATATTTTAAAAGAACTACAATCTTAAACTTCATTCAGTATTAACAAATACCTGAGAAAAACAAGTCAAGGACTGTAGTTCATCATAAATATTTTTGAAAGCAAAGAATGAATATAGCAGAACTGGGTACACAAGGCCTCTATCCCCCTCCCCAAATTCATAAATTTAAGATAAGAAGTAGTTTATGACAACTTTCTTCCCCTTTTAAAAAATGAAGATTCCCACAAGTTAAATGTCAACATATAATAGAAAAACCAACTCCACTATTTTGCTTCCAAATATCTCATTAAAGAAGACAACCTTAAGATAACTGAACAGCAATTATTAAAGAATAATCTATAGAACAAACGGCGCCTGGGTGGCTCAGTCGGTTAAGCGTCCGACTTCAGCTCAGGTCATGATCTCATGGTTCATGGGTTCAAGCCCCACATCAGGCTCTGTGCTGACAGCTCAGAGCCTGGAGCCTGCTTCGGATGCTGTGTCTCCCTCTCTCTCTGTCCCTCCCCCACTCACTCTCTCTCTCTCTCTCAAAAATAAACGTTAAAAAAATTTTTTTAAGAATAAGCTATAGAACCATAAAATTGGGGGAAACATGATAATCTTCTGTCCCCATTCTGTTCATTTTATAAAGGAACTAAAGCCTTAAGGAAGTTAAGTGCCTTGTTTAAGGATACATAGGAAGAAAAGAGCCAACATTATCCATAATTCAGTCAGTCCATGATTCAGGACATCCATTAATCAGTCGCTACTTCTCTTCATGACATTTTATGCCACTGTGAGCAAATATTTGAATTCATCTAACCTCCTAACTATCAGAACAGATGTAGGGCTGAAAATAAAAACACTGAGACCTGGAGAGATGCCACATTACCCTCATCTTGCACAGCCAACTGACTCCCCACTCCTAGGTCCCCAACACCTCCCGGAAAGAGCTTAAGCAAATGGATTTGTTCTCAGTACAAACTAATGGGCTCCAAACTTATGGAGTCCTCTGAAAAGTATGAGGGCAGGGGTTATAGAGGCAGATATGCAAAGTCAAGATACTGAAATGATGTGTTCCCCAAACCCCTTCCTGTGGAAGATAAGGTTAAACACAGAACAAACGTAAGACTCAAGTAAAAGAAAAAAATATGGAGGATCAAACCAGAACCAACTTTCAGTTAACAAAAACATAGATAAGGGGGTAGAAATCGGGGCAGAAATCCTCAAATAACACAATGTCTCAGAACTGAAGGAAATACGTTTTCCAATTGAAAGGAAACTTCCAGGGGCGCCTGGGTGGCTCAGTCAGTTAAGTGTCCAGCTTAGGTCATGATCTTACTGTTTGTGGGTTCGAGCCCCACGACGGCTTCTGTGCTGACAGAACTGAGCCTGGAGCCTACTTTGGATTCTGTGTCTCCCTCTCTCTACCCCTCCCTCACTCACGGTCTGTCTGTCTGTCTCTCTCTCTCTCTCTCTCTCAAAAATAAACATTTTTTAAAAAATGTTTTAAAAGAAAGGAAACTTCCAGAAAACCTACAAGATATCAATAACAAGAATCACATCACATTTCTAACAATACAAATGATCAGAAAATGAAGCAATACTTTTAGAATCTGACAAACAAAACTATAAATTAGATAAAAGACTTCTTGGGGCGCCTGGGTGGCGCAGTCGGTTAAGCGTCCGACTTCAGCCAGGTCACGATCTCGCAGTCCGGGAGTTCGAGCCCCGCGTCAGGCTCTGGGCTGATGGCTCAGAGCCTGGAGCCTGTTTCCGATTCTGTGTCTCCCTCTCTCTCTGCCCCTCCCCCGTTCATGCTCTGTCTCTCTCTGTCCCAAAAATAAATAAACGTTGAAAAAAAAAAAG